TCGTGGCTTGGTTGCGGGTTGGGCAGGCCAGTCGGGTGTTCTAGCGCCTTGGGGATGTGACTGCGGTTGCAGTCCCAGGCTTCATAGACACCTTCCCTCCACTAGCGACTTGGGCGTTAACTAAGGGTAAAATTGAACTATACAACATGTCCACTGTCACGATAACCTCACTTGTAGTCTAGATACATCCAGAGCAAAAGTTCTGACTTACAGGAGCAGAAATAAGCTGAAACTTTGGGGTATCTCCATCATCGAAACTAGAGTAAACAGCAGCAAACAATGTTGCAGTGATCCACAACAGATCTGTCACTATAATATATAAAAAATACCAGATGAAAAAGTCACAAACAAGGCTACATGTGTTCTTAGTATACAAGATGTAATTATTGAATATAAAAACTTGTACAGTCATGTACATTCAAATTCAAGTCTCATTGTGTTTCACTGACTGCTTTGAACAGGTCCTCCTTACTCAAAGGAAGTCTGCAACGCCTGCATGTATGGACATAATTGCCATGTCTACATGTGGTACCTGAATGGGGATCATCAATGAAAACTTCAGGACATTCTATTTCCCTTTTCACCTCCAGAGCCTGGATAAAAGAAGTTGAACATGTAGATCTGCATGAGTGGAAAATGTTTTTTTTTTAAACTGTGATTGGTGGAGAGTAAAGATTCATTTATTGTCCTAAAGCACAGTGTAGGAATTGCTTCAAACCATTCCCTTCTGAACATTGATAATTAAAGACAGGTCAAATCTACCTCATGATCTGCCTAATTAACTTCATGGATGTTCAGAAATTATCCAGAGAATCTTAAAAATGCTATCAATGTGTCAGAAAGGTTTCATATCCTTTTGATCTCAAGGCCAGTAAAAGCATGCACAAATTGATCCAACTTTACCGAGGATGATGCAAAGACATACATATGTACAGTGTGTGCTGTAACAAGATATTTCTCATATTCACTAGAAAAGACCATGTACATAAATTTGTACTTGCCTGTGAATACTGAGTTAACCTGCCATCTCTATGTCCCACTACTAGCTGTTTCCCTTTAGGACTCCAACAAACTAGGGAAAACAAAAAGTAATTTATTTCAATTAAAATGCAAAATGTAGCTTCAGTTCATGTATAAACTTGCAAACTTACCATCTGCAAGAGGGAATCTAGTAGACAAGTATACATGTATACTGTACATGAAAAACAAAAAACAAACTGGAACACTAACTCAGGAAACATGTCCAACTATCAAACACTCTAACATGTCCTTTGTTTAATTACAATTCCTGGGAAGAAAATCAGCTTTATTGCACTTGGGCCTCAATAACTTGCTGAATGTTATATAAAAGTCTACTTACTTGCACTTGCTTTCACACTTCCAGGAAGGTTTGCCAGTGTTTTTATTTCTGTTTCTGTCAACTCCATCACTGCCACAGAGCCAGAACTGAGACAAACAGCAAAGATACCAGGAAAACCAGGATTCCACAGAACATTCCCAACACTTGCTCCTATGTAAACAATAAAAAGGTACACACTGCAGCAATAATGGGTTCTTACAAATAAGTGACAAAAATGACAACTACAGTACTGGTTAAATTGGAAAGGCATTCAAAGCAAACAGCAGTCAAGAATGAATGTACACATACATGTGACCGACTACATATAACACAACATGGACCGCCAACCCTGAAGTGAACTGAACAAAAAGGTTATTCAAGAGATTCACATGTAAAGCAATGGACACATTGTCCGTACTTGAATGCTAAACGGAAAAGATAAAAGATGTCCCAAGCTCTCTGAAATGAGTAGCCCAGAGTGTACAGTTGTTTAGATTTAAAGAGCTTCCATGTATACATACAGTCATGTATTTCTCCTTAAATTAGAAATAGAAAGTTAGAAGCAATTCAATTCCAAAGTATAAAAGTATACATGTTTAAAGTACCTTCATCTCTAGTTAGAGTAATTTCACCAAATTTGGCCATTGAAGGGTTCTGAGAAATGACAAAAAAATCTTCAATTAACATCCCCATACAGTCAATGTATTTGATAAAATAAACAAAAATAATAGTGATATAACTTGATATGTTCTTGTAGTTGATAGGCAGAGTGGTAAGTAGATTGTCAGTAAGTAAATCATCAACCATAATAATTACAGTATGTCAACTTTAAAAGTAACAAATTATTTTTAATCCTGGGAATAAAAGGGTAAAACATAATAAATAAAACAAGGCAATGGCATATGGCAACAATTAATAACACAGTGTATTGTAATTAAGGATCTGCGCTGCTCATGATGTTTGAAAATTCTCTCAAACTAAACTCATCTGAAGGCTTGTGCAGTTTTGAGAGAATTTTCAAAGATCACTCGTACATGTAGTTTGTATCCTTAATCCACACATTCATACTATTAACTTAAAACGAATTGACAGTCAACAGAAATGTTACCGTACAAATGATGGACAATGGATTTAATAAGTGTTAAAGTTTAGTTATAAACATTTGTACTTACAGAGCTTCCGAGTGTTGGTACATCATAGAGCACCATGACAGTTTGAGTTCCATTCTCATAACAGACAGATAGAGTAAGATCATCACTACTTAAACCAACAAACTGTACAGGACGCCCAGTCTGAATGAACGATGAGGGACAGTGCCCCACTGAAAGAGAGAAATTAGATAGAAATATAATATGGTATTGTGCATGTATGGTTGCCATAAAAATGTGCCTTTCTGACCACTCTTTAATTTATAACCTCATGATAAGGTTTACATTTTTGCAAAACAGGCTTTGACATTGTTTGATGGGAATGCTCTTTTTGCTGCTTGAGAACATTAATTTTTTAAAATTACAGCACTGGAGATCTACAGTTCTTTTTGAACAGTCTTGTTAAAGCAACAGCACATTTCAGGAAAACAAAATGTTCGATGTATAACAACGCATGGAAAGGTCCATGGATCTAAGATGTATTTTAAAAATTAATGTACAATGAGGATGTGCATGTATTTGTATATTTGTACTGTATGTTATAAAATAATTCTAGTTGAATCCAATCAAGATTTTTAAGCATATCAAACTCTTATAACTTCCATTATGTTATAACCAATTTCTATTTTAATGGTCTCACACAAAGTGTGGCTGTTTGTTTCTTTTTGTTTTGTTTTGGAGGCTGTCATACAAGTGAAGTGAAAAATACACAAGTGCATGTGTATCTTCAATAATGTAGGACTCCCCATTACTTAGCCTAGGGCACATTTTGGGCACATTTTGGGCGAGCAAGTTCAAATATTCCTGTGTCAAGTGTTAAGGCAGCCACCTACCTTGGATTAGGTTAACAGTGATGAGTTGGGGTGAGGGAAAAAATTGGGGGAAGGGGGAGGAGAGGGAAAATTTGTTTCTTCAGTGCCCATTCCCTGCCCACCAGCCACCTATATAGCCTCTCTTACTCATCCCAACTCTCCACATTTTTGGAATGTTCACCAAAATTGCCTGCACTGCAGGCTACCTCTTTATATGCACCACTTGCAAAACATTTTGGATGTTAATATTTCTTATATTTTATTTCCAGGCGATTAATTTTTAAACCCATTTTATCTCATTTCGGATCAATTTTGGACAAAAAGTTCTGACATTTTGTGAAAAATAATATCGCTTAAGGGCCCATTAACCAATTCATGCGCGCACTCACACGCGTTGCTAAGGAGGTAAAATTTCACTTCCGGTCACTTACGTCAGCCTGAGCGCGGAAAATAAAAACAACTCAAAACCTTGCAAATTCGCTTACATTCTAGACGTTTTTCTTTGTGTTTCGCAAAATGCACAGTAAAAAAAGTACAAGCAAAGACAAAATAAGAGAAAGACAGAAAATCAAGAGCAATAGAAAGAGAAAAACTAACTCAGTGTGGCTTTGTTTGATCTTACCGAAGTGTGCTGGTAGTGTAAATTGCGCACGCGCTGATAGGGTAACTTCCAATAGA